ATACACACACACACACACACACACACACACACACACACACACACACACACACACAGTGGAATACTATGTAGCCATCAAAAGAAATGAAATCTTGCCATTTGCAATGATGTGGATGGAACTAGAAGGTATTATATTGAGCGAAGTAAGTCAATCAGAGAAAGACAATTATTATATGATCTCCCTGATATGAGGAATTTGAGAGGCAGAGTGGGGGGCTTGAGGGGTAGGGAAGGGAAAAAATGAAATAAGATGGGATCGGGAGGGAGACAAACCATAAGAGACTCTTAATCTCACAAAACAAACTGAGGGTTGCTGGGGGGAGGGGGAGTATGGAGAGGGTGGTTGGGTTATGGACATTGTGGAGCGTATGTGCTATGGTGAGTGCTGTGAAGCGTGTAAGCCTGATGATTCACAGACCTGTACCCCTGGGGCAAATAATACATTACATGTCAATAAAAATAATTAATTTTTAAAAATCGCTAAAATAAAATAAAATTCCATGAAAAAAAAAGACCCACCCATAGAATTAAAGATGAACAGATTGACTGGCTGTGGATTTCTCAGAATCTCTAACATAGTGATGTATCTGGAAATCACCAAGGCAGGGAGATATAAGGTTCCCCAACTTATTTGGCCAGGGAATTCCTTTTGCAAGGGACCTCTCCCCATTGATTTGTTTCATGGATACAAATTGAGTAATTCAAGTCTCCATCGATAAGGTCTATATTGGTTTCTGTGCCTATCCCCACCCATCCCAAGTATTCCTGACCTTTCTGTGTTGAAGAGGAAATTAGTCAATGCAACCAGTGACCTTCTCCCCCTCTGACCTTTGTTCTTCCATATTCCAGAGCAAGGAGATTGGCCTGCAGATGCACGAGGAGCTCCTGAAGGTCACCAATGAGCTCTACACAGTAAGTCCTGTTCAGGCTCTGCTGCTGGGCTTGGGATATGGTCCCCTTTCTTCAGCACCAGGAGCCAAAGGGAGTCTAACCAGAGTCATGGGATGAGCCTGGACATTTTTGCTGTCTTGGGCTGAGTGACAGGGGGTCGTCCTGGTGGGATGTAATGGTTTACAACCCTGGCTTCTGATTCTGTATAGCTCTGGTGGGGCCCTGAGCATGTTTAGTTTGTATACGTTCACAAGAGACCTGCATGACCTACCAGGTGTGGGAATGTGTTTCCTTCCAAAGCATAAGACCAAGGTCAGGGAGGGGACAGCATGGATAAAACCTTCCGAGGCAGGGATGTGGGTCTGGAGTCAAATGCAATGGGCTGAGGCTGAGGTCTGCTCCTTACTGATGATGGAAACTTAGGCAGATATGTAGCTCATCTGGATTTCAGCATTCTTATTTGCAAAATGGAGCACTGTTCTGAGGAAACACGTGAGGTGAAAGGGGTGAGCGTACCTCGTTATCTCCAAGGAATGATTTCAGAACATTACAACTCAGTGCAGAATTGACCTTGCTACCTACATGGAGGCAAGATCTAACTGGACTCGAGATGACTATTAGAATTCAAGAGGGTCAGGGAATGGGGAATGCAGACTCACCAAGTTATGATGCAGGCGTTTACTGGTTGTGCCCTGAGGGCCCTTGGGCTTCTTTATGGAGGAATGTGATGAGCCTCAGAAACAGCCTAGGGGAGTGGGATGAGGTAGCCCCTGCAGGGAGAGCTCCAGACCCCTCATCCCCCAAAACAGGGTAGAATAAAGTTGTTGTATTTTAAATACGTCAGGGTTCCTTATAAAGTTTCCTATTAAAAGTGGGGATTCTGGGGCGTCTGGGTGGCTCAGTGGGTTAAAACCTCTGCCTTCAGCTCAGGTCATGATCCCAGTGTCCTGGGATCCAGCCCCGCATCAGGCTCTCTGCTCAGCGGGGAGCCTGCTTCCCACACCCCTCTCTCTGCTTTCCTCTCTGCCTACTTGTAATCTCTGTCTGCCAAATAAACAAATAAAAATCTTTAAAAAATAAAATTAAAAAATAAGTGGGGATTCTGCTGCTAAAATTATATTCGAGAAAGGGAAAGAATAGCAGGCTGCGAGAAGACCCCTCTCTCTGGTGTTAGGATCTTTCTGTAGTCATGTTCTGTGTGGCCAGCAGGTGGTGGACTTCTCAGGGCCTAAGAGCTTTTGCCTAAGAGCCTGGATCTTAGGTTGGAATTACGATCTCAGATTCTAAACAGTGATGGAGACTTCTCTGGGCCTCAGTCTTCTACTCAGTAAAATGGAGACGCGAGTTCCCGGAGGTTAACCTGTGAGAGTTGAGACTCACATTTCAATTATTTCAAGTTGAGAAGCGCAACCTGTGCCCTGGACAGTTTTTAGCTGCATCATTGCTTAGGGGAAAGGAAGAACTGCTGCTTCTCAAGTGACTGAGTCAGCTGGGCATTGTGGGGAATAGTCGCCTAGCAGTTGAAAGCAGACCCTAAAGCCGGAGACCTGGGTTCAAATTCAGTTGTTAAACAGAAATCATAACAGCTACTTCTTGCAGACCCTGTGGGAGTTGAAGGAGACTAGATATGTAGAGCATGCATGGTACAAAGAACAAAAAGCACGGTGGATAGAAGTTCTTGTACTACCATCATCTTGATTTCTACCTCCTCGGTGAGTGTGAAACCAGCTATTGTGCCTTCCCAATGGAGGAAGGGTGGTGATAAATATGCAAAGCTGGTCACCAGATGTGCCTTCCTTACTCAGAATGCTGCAGAGGACTTGGCTAGACCAGTGTTTCCCAGTCTAGGTCCTTTTTATGTTCCTCAGGCACCGCTTTGAATGGATCACTTTCCTCTGTGGCATTTCAACACCTGGGTGCTGGTGCCAGGGACCCCCCCCCCAAGCCACTCCCACCCAGGTCTTTAACCTTTCATTGGGGTTCCAGCTGGGCTCCTCTCCTCCACGTCCTCCGCACACCCCAAATACCACCTGGTCTGCTCCTTTATCCACGTAGCTCCGCCTGCTTACAATCGCCCTTTCCTTCTCTGCTTGTATGTGTCATACTCATTTTTCAAGCCCAGACCAAATTCCACCTTTAGAAAGCTATTGCCTCCGGGCTTTGAATTCTATGGCAGTTAAAAAAAAAAAACAAAACTATCATGTTATCCTCATGTACCCAGTTGGTGTGTAATCTCCTGAGAGCTAGATCTTGGTCAGTAACACTGTGCTTAACGCCCAGAGACTCAGTTCGAACCTGGTGTTTGACCTCTGGCAGGTCACTTCACCTCTCAGTCTCACCTGTGATCAACAGATCAGGCAGGTGTAAACTGGGTGAAGCAGATGGGGATTGGGAAGCTGGTGTTGGTGTCCAGTGCAGTGCCCTGAGCCCAGCAGGTGTTCCATGCACACTGGGCTCTGCTGGCCATGGGGCAGAGCAGCTGGACAGAAATGCTGCTGGTGTCAGAGGCTCAGACCAGGCAGATTGCCTGTGCTCACGGCAGCCTGGGGACAGCCTCAGAGCTGGTGCTGGAGAAAGGGCCAGCACCTAGCACCTCCCTAGTTCTCTCCTGCAGCCACTTGTGGAGGACTGGAGCCTCAGAGGGCCCACAGCACACCCCCCACCCCCAAGTCACGTATTGACTGCACACAGAGTCTTCAGTTACTGCCCAGAAACCATTTACATTCGGGCATTTGGGGCTGCCTGCCTCTGAGGACTGGAGCCTCAGAGGGCCCACAGCACACCCCCCACCCCCAAGTCATGTATTGACTGCACACAGAGTCTTCAGTGACTGCCCAGAAATCATTTACATTCGGGCATTTGGACCCACCGCTGCAGGAGGCACAGTGGCTGGGCTGTGAACATTTCGAGAGTTCATCTTTGAAGTCCCCTGTACATCCCCAGTGTTGCCAAGGCACTTGCTGAAGCAGAGGAGGGGAGGATGTATGAATAAATGAAAGAAAATGGTTTTGCTCACGAGTTTCGAGTCTGGGTAGGGAGACAAGAGTAAAGTATGTGACCTGGTGATCGAGCAGTCCAGGATGGAGTGGAGAGTGTGCTGGGTACATGGACTCGAGGTGGGCACCAAGCCTGTGAACCCTGTGAGGGCTGCCCTGTGTTCTCTGCTGTGCTGGAACATAGTAGGTGGCCCATACCTATTTACTGAGTGATGAAACCAGAGGGAGAGCGAGTGCATGCAGGAGAGATCGAGGCTTCCAGAAAGTGCTAGCTCCAAGTGGGATGCTGGGATCAAGGGTGAGTGTTGAACTCACCCTTGGAGGGTGAACTCTACCCCTCGGAGGGGTAGAAATGAAAGAAGCAGAGGGGAAGAGAGGTGGAGGAAGGAAATTCTCTCAGCAGGGATGTCAGGGCAGGATGCCAGCAGAACAAACCGATTACAGACTGATCTGGGTTTGAAGTCTCGCTGCCTCACCTACCGGCTTGGCCAAGCCAGTGAACATCTTTGGGCCTCATTTCCTTTATTGCCGAAACAAGGGTAGGAACAACTATGGCCATTTCGTGAGTGCTCACACACTGTGTGTGGTGGGTACTTCGTATGTATTATTTAATTGGCATCTTTTACTGATAAAGATACTGAGGCACAAAGAAGTACCTTGCTTGAAGGCCTTTGTAGCAGTTTTCAGCGCCTGCACCACAAACTGTGTCACAACTCAGTGACTTAAAACAAGCACCATTTCATTGGCTCATGACTTTGTAGGTCAGCAGTTCGGGCTGAGTTCAGGTAGGGCCACTGACGTGACTGTGGTTTTCTGGCCAATTAGAAAAAGAGCCCCAAGTGGGAAATGCCCAGCGTGCCAGCACCTTTCAAGCCTCTGCTTGTGTCCTACTTGCACATGGGCTATTGGCCAAAGCAAGTCACATGGCCAAGTCCATGGTGGAGGAGTGGAGAATAAACACCACCTCTTGATGGGAGTTCCGTGCCAGGTCACAAAGCAGAGGGGCGTGCTTGCAGTAGGGGGAGCAGCCACCCAGCTGCTGAGGGCACCATGGGGCCCAAATCCCATGCTTCGTTATTAGGGATTTCTTTGAGCACTTTCTAGTTGCAAGGCCTGGTTATACAACTTCCCCTCCTCTCCCAGCCCTGGAGTCATGATCACTGGTGACTGAGGACAAATGATGTTGAGAAGAGATTATCCAGTAAGCCTCAGTTTTGTTCTGGTGATGTTTTCTAGAGGAGGGGATGTGGTCGGGGGTACCATTGAGCACAACGATGATACAGATACATGCTAAGCGCCATCTGTCATCCACTTTAGGGAAAAGGCTTGTTGCCATCTGAGACCAGGATGCAGGGGAGACTGCAAGGCTGGACATTTTGTTCATTCGTTCTTTCGTTTGTTTGTCTATTCATTCATTCATTCATTCATTCATTCACTTAAGATACCTTCCCTCTGTCTTCATCACCTTGAGGTGCCCTCCTTTTAAAACGTGCAAGCATGTGTGCAAACACGGGTGCATGTGTGAGCATGTGTGTACAGCTCCCCTCCCCCCCAAACCCCGCCTCACTCATTTTCCCCTGAACTCCCATCAGTCAGCCTGACACAAGATAGCCCTCCATCATCATATGTCAGCCTGGGAGGGAAAAAGGGCAGAAGTTGAGAGTGTGGGCCAATTGCTAATCCTTCCAGGAGATGCAAAAACAAAACAGACAACAAAAAACCCCACTGTGTTTTCATCATTTAGCTAAAAATATGTTCAGATTACCAGTAATAGTCCTAGATCATGAAATGTATCTATTGTGTTTTGAAGTGACAAATGCTGCAGCATCCCTCGGGTGGCCCTTTCTTTGTGCTCCGTCGCAGTGCTTTCCCAGGCACGGCCACCTGCCTTACAGGCTCCCAGTGGCAGAAGGGGCCTCTGAGACTTGGCTCAGGGTGACATGGAGGGGGCCCAAGGAGTGTCCACACCCAGCCACAGCTGGTGACAGGTAGAAACTGATTGGTGTAATGAATGGACTCTATTTT